CAGAGCGTGTTCAAAGGATGACTACCAGAACAATAATCGCCAGTTGCTGACATCACAGCCAGGACAGAGCGTGTTCAAAGGATGACTACCAGAACAATAATCGCCAGTTGCTGACATCACAGCCAGGACAGAGCGTGTTCAAAGGATGACTACCAGAACAATAATCGCCAGTTGCTGACATCACAGCCAGGACAGAGCCGTTCAAAGGATGACTGCCAGAACAATAATCGCCAGTTACTGACATCACAGCCAGGACAGAGCGTGTTGAAAGGATGACTGCCAGAACAATAATCGCCAGTTGCTGACATCACAGTCTTTCTGAAACTTTACTGTTCTCAGTTTGCCACTGTTCTTTAGCAGACCTTTTAAAGTTAATTGGATTAGGGCTTGGTGGGCCGCTGTGTACTGCACAGCCTGCACACCCTGTATGACCACCACTGGCGGCTGCCATTATTTCCGCTTGAATTGTTTAGAAACCCTGTAGTCAAACTTGCAGCCGGCCTTTAGCAAAACTGTATCTTATGTGAACATATATTCGGCGCCCCTGCCCCTATAAAATTAACAAGAACTGCTAATTGCAATGTCGATTTTGGCGCCTCTTGGGGTGGGCGCCCTGTGCGGGACATAGGTCGTCCGCTCCAAGGTCCGGTCCTAATCAAACTGAACTTAACTCACGAACAAAATTGACACCAACAAACCCAACAACAGTACATTACACTGCAGTTTGCCTTTTGTTCCTGAAACCAGCTCAAGAATTATGCACATTTGGACTAAACTGCCAGTAAACACAATATTCCTGTCAACGTCAAATTCTCACAAAAACCCGGCCCTAATTTAAAATAGTCACTAAACAAAAATTATTTAGAATCACACAATACCAACGTCATTTACAAAATAACATGCAGTAACTGCCCAAAATTCTATATCGGAGAAACAGGAAGAAAATTGGAAACCAGATTGACAGAATACAATAAAAAACCGTCCCATGTTTTTCACCATTTTAACTCAAAAAACCATAGTATATCTATTAAAAACACAGTCATTTTAAACAAAGAACCCAACATAAGCAAACGAAAAATCAAGGAATCCACTCCGATTGTTAATTGATTTTCCGTAACTACGAAACTTAAGCGACA